AAGCAAAAGTTAGTGTGCTGCATCTTTTCTTTCTTGAAATTTCTTTATCAATTTTGTTAATGAGAGCAATTAGGGCAGCTATATTTTGTTTTACTTCAGATTTTTTTTTTATTGCCAGCTACGGTATTCGGAGCTATGCCCGATTTTATCGAGATTTGTGTTTTATATGTATCTCTCTCGGTCTCTCTGTCTCTTTTGTTATGGGATTGTCGAAAACAGCGATGATGAGTAATATGCAGACCTGTAATGATTTGCGAATATGATCGCAAATATTAATGAACATCTAAGGGACTGAGTTGTTAAATTTTTTGAAATCCCATTAATTTTTCTTTTGTCATTTTTATATTTTTTTTTTTGCTGTTTATTTTTTTTTCTGGTTTTCATTTTAATAAAAGAATTATAATTTATAATTTTATTTTTGATTTACAACATGAAAACGTATTTTGTTTGGTCTTAAATATCACCGTATTTTCTAAACTTACAAATATAATTTATCTTTTCTAAATTAACTATTATATGAATTTTTATTTTTTAAAAAAAAATTGTTTATTATATTTTTAAATTTTTTGAATGAAAATGTCTGGTGCGAATGGACTATTTAATTTATTTTTAAATTTTTAATATTAAGATTGGATTTATAACATTTGGAAAATTAGTTTCTAATAGAAAATTTTATGAAATGTATAATGCTTTTAAAATGAATATGCTGTAGATTTTTGCTACGTTGGAGATTAATTATAGTGATTAAAAAATAGATTGGAGATAAATTACAGTGACTAAAAGACATTAGGTAAAATCTATGTCTGTTCAATTGGTCAAATAAATTGAAAACCGAACTAAAATAGAAAAATGAAAAAAAATAATAAAGCAAATTGCACCTCTAATTTCAACAAATTCTAAGCCATAATTAACAGCAAAAGTATAATAACCTAATCAAGTGAAATCATGAAGGAGAGAAATTGAATTGATTTAATCGAGTGTTATTCTGAAGTTAGGGTTTATTTGTTTCCGATTTTTTATTTCTTTCTTTTTTTTCAAAATGATAGATATTATAAAAGCTCGGTATAATTATAGTCGACGAAGTTACAACACCCACAAGGGCAAATAGAGAAGCACCAACAGTGGTGTTCTAGACAAAACAATCATACTACTAAGGGATTTAAGGTCATGCTTTTTTGGAATTTACCTTTCATCTATACTTTGTAAATAGACGAACGATCTTAGCAAATAGGAATGAGATTGGGTTGGGCTTAATGTGTGGTAGTTGTTTAATTTATTTTATTATACTGGGCCTTAATATAATTGGACTAAAAACTAAAAAAGAGGCTTGGGTAATATATGTTATAAATTTATATTATCTGTTATTGATTTTGTTCGGTTAACTGATTATTTATATTCAAACCAAATTGAAAATTGAAATATTAAAAAAATATAAATTGAAAACCGAACCAAGAATTTGGTTTCGGATTTGGTCGGTTAACTAAATTGAGTGCAGCCCTAGTATCAAATGAAATATTTACAGTGATTTAAAGACATTATGTAAAATGTATCAAATTAAGTATTTCAGTGATTAAAGATAACGAGCAATGATCACTTACTTACGGTGGATATATGTTAATATGCTCATCGTTTATGTGGCATGTATACATTGGTGATGTATTTTTTTGAACATATTAATATTACCAATATGTGCATGCTACTTAACATGTACTTACCCATGATCACCTACTTACGGTGAATATATATTAATATGTTTACCGTTTATGTGGTATGTTTACTGTTTATGTGGTATGCACGCATTGGTGATGTATTTTTTTGAACATATTAATATTATCAATGTGTGCGCGGTGGACATATTAATATGTACCCATCGTGGGTAGGAGAGCATTATCCTAAAGATAACTTTGATTAAATTAAATTAAAGTTTATATATTGAAAATTATAAATTTTTAATAGTTTCTTAATTAAAAAGTAAGATTATGGAGGGAGAGTACAAATAGATTAATAGTATCTTCCTAATAGTGATTGTGAACATATAAATTGTGAACATAAAATCTTAAGTAGAAGATGATCTTGGCAAAAGATAATAGTGATTCAACAAAATAAGATTTATTTATTTATT